TGAAAAAAAATCATGTAAAAAATATTTCTGTAATTGTCTCATGGATTTATAACATTTGATTATAATTTCACACACATATATATATATAGAGAGAGAGAGAGGGGGGGGGGGAGGTTCAAGAGAGAGGGGGACGGTGTGCACATTAACATACAAATAATTAAATATGTTTCTTGGTTTTTATATACATGTGCATTTTTACACATGTCCATATCAGACAAAAATGCTTGGAAAATACTTGTATGCACATATACATACCGTCAAGATAAATTGTTACCAGAGTGTTGCTTAATTTTTCGTTTATTTGTTGTTTCCCTTGAATAATATTTTAGATATGTTGACTTTTTAATCTAATTTCATTTTCCTTCAACTACATTCATCTTCAATTTCACGAACTTTTACATATATTTAATCATTTTCACATCCATAAATAAACCTCCTCCTCTAAAATGTAAAGAGAAGAAGATTAGAAAGGGAGGTGATGTGTAATAGATGGGGAACATTAACCTGGAGAAAGTCAAGGAAAAGGTTTAAAATAAAAATGATATGCATCTTGAATGGAAAGCTGCATCATGATTTGGTGTGATCAGTTTGATGATGTCCATGAACACATGTGCCTTGTACCTTATGCAATCAAAGATTCTACATATACATACATATATACATATATATATATATATATATAGGGGAGCGATCAAATGCAAACCACTCAATTTGTACAAACCGTATTCAACCAATCATAATTTTTCATTTTGTTCATTTTTTTGTAATTATGAGAGGTTGATTAATCATTTTTATTGTGGAGGGTGTTAATCATAGATATTATCATCTTCATTATTTTAATTTTAAAGAAATACATGAAACAGTTTCATTAATGTTAGAGAAATACATGAAACAGTTTCATTAAGTATTATATGAAACAATTTCACAATCATATATGAAACAACTTCATCAAAAAAAGTATTATATGAAACAATTTCACAAGATTAAACAATTTCATGAAAAAATTTCATAAGATTAAACAATGAAATCGACAGATGAAGGTGGTTTGCACGGTTTACACAAATGAAGACGGTTTTCATATGATCACTCCTCTATATATATATATATATATATAAAAGAGAACACAGGTAGGATATTAGGAAGTAGGATTGGAATTGGAAGGAGGTATTTTTTAGCGTTTGGAATCAAATTAGCAAAGGAGACAAGCCTAGTGGGTGTTTGGTTTGAATGTCTAAAAGCTAACAAGGTGGACTCCATTCCATTCCCTTTCTTTTTTTCATTTTTCTTTTTCTTTATATACGTATATATCCTCTGATAGTCGTATATATTAGGGGTGTTTATGGTACGGGTTAATCAGGTTGAAGACATTTCAACAACCAAACTTAATGTTTGTGGTTTGTAAAATCTCAACACAATCCAAATCAAAGTGTAACCCAACTCAACTCAAACTGTGTGAGTTGGTCATGTTGATACGTTGGTACATTAAAATATTCTTCTAATTTTGAACATATTGATTTCTGTGTAGTTCTTTTTTTATCATTAATCATTTGGTACGACTTATATTCGTACTCCTTAAATCATAAGTATATCACATTCAACTACTTTTTCTCAATTTGAATATATGTGTTCACATTTACTGAACATATATACGAAAGAGTTATATAGAGGAGTGATCAAATAAAAACCGTCCTCATTTGTGTAAACCGTGCAAACTACCTTMATCCGTCGATTTCATTGTTTAATCTTATGAATTTTTTTCATGAAATTGTTTAATCTTGTGAAATTGTTTCATATAATACTTTTTTTGATGAAGTTGTTTCATATATGGTTGTGAAATTGTTTCATATAATATTTAATGAAACTGTTTCAGGTATTTCTCTAAAATTAAAATAATGAAGATGATAATATCTATGATTCACCCTCCACAATAAAAATGATTAATCAACCTCTCATAATTACAAAAAAATGAACAAAATGAAAAATTGTGATTGATTAAATGAAGTTTGCACGGTTTGTACAAATTGAGTGGTTTGCATTTGATCGTTCCCATATATATATAAAGAGAGAGAGAGAGAGAGATGAAGAAGAGAAAAAAAAACATATGTACATGAGGAGGGTATTATGAGAATATGTAGAACCATTATATTACTCAATAAAAGAGCCCTTGAGAAAAATAGGGAGGTTCTAACATATATACAAGATAAATGGTCCAAGTTTATGCAATGTGGGACTCCAATACGCCCCCTCCAATGAGGGCTAGATGGGCAGTGATTGTCCTAGACCTAGAGTGTTGAGAGAGTGCTAGCCAAAGTGTCAAATCTCTAGAGCGGCAGATTTTGGCTCTGATACCATATGAGACTATGTAGAACCCCTAATTCACTCTCAACAAGAGCCCTTGAGGCAAAGTAGGAGGTTCCAACAGAGATATATGTAGAAAAAAATGATCCAAGTATAGCTAATGTGAGACTCTAATAGGTACATGATGATGTAATTGTCTAATGTACAGATTAATAGAGATTTAACAATCACATTAAATCAAATAAATAAAAAGATAACTGGTTCATCGCATTGGGTTCAAATAACTGTAACTCAATTCCAACTCAATACCTATAGTTTGAAATTTTTACAACTCAATTAGACATCGGATTACTTTGAGTTGGATAATTTCCCGTTGATTCGATTGGCCGAGTTGGTCGGATTTTCGAGCGCCCCATTATATCATTACCATTGGCTTTAAACAATTTATCGTTACTAAAAACTATGGGGTTGTTTACCAAACACTTATCCGGTAAGTGCTTACCGGTAAAATTTAACACTATTAGTTACTTACCAGATAAGATTTTAGTCCATCAAAACGACATTGTATATATACAACAATTCACCCGACAAGCGCTTACCGTGGTAAGAGTCGATCGTCCTCACTTACCGGGTAAGACTCATGTTCCTTGTCTCGCTTTTACCGAATATGATTCTTAGTCCTACCATATTCATCCGGTGAGATAATGTGACTTGATAAGCGCTAATCCGAGTAAGCGTTTAGTAAACGACCCCTAATTGGTAAGCATTTTTACATAAATAATAATAGTTGAATCTTGATGTCATGATACCTATAAAACTAATGAAATTACACTCTTATTTTGAAATTTAAAATATTTAAATTATAATAAAAATTTTGAATGAAACAAATAATATAAAAAGTAAGAATTTTATAATATAGTTATTTTGAAAGACTAATTCAGATATATTAACAATAAGAGTTCAAACAACAACCTTCTGTAAGACACAGAAAAAGTAGAACAAAAAGCAAAAAACAAAAAACACAAAACACCGAGGCCGACAAACAAGAAAAATTACACTGAAAAGGACAAAAATTGAAAAACCTCGAACTCAATCAGAGCCAATTTGACATTCATGTCGACATATGATTAGCCAATACTTGTAATTTCTAATTTATTAAAACATAAATTTCTAATTTTCTATTTTAATCATAAGTGGAATTAATTTTCTATCCCGTTTACAAACAACCAAAATTGGATCTCTCAGCATTACATCGATATACAACTGATAATATTTACAAATGATCAACTTGAATAAAAAGCTGATAGGATAAAGTAATGATAATTAATAATCTTGATTATTATTTTGATTTATGTTAGGTGATATAACAACAACTGAACATAAATGATTTAATTAACACGGATGTAAATATAAGTACACGAATGATGTTTTCTTCGATTTGAATACGTGATCGAAAAATGCATCGTTAATTATAGCGATGTACTAAGGGGCTGTTTGGATTATGGGAATTGAAAGGAATTGAAAGAAATTGGAATGTCCAATCCTTTGACCAAATTCCAAATAGAGTGTTTTGTTCATGAAATAAGACTATGAAATCCTTTCAATTCTTTCTCGCACAGATTTTACAATTACATGGCAATATGCTAGGATTTCAATTCTTTTCCTACAGATTCCTTCCCTAATCCAATTCCATGCAACCAAACGCAATTACAAGGCATGGTCAAATTCCATCAGATTTCATTCTATTCCCTCAAAGTCAAATTCATTTAATGAATTTCAATTCCATCGAATTCTATTCTACGAACCAAACATCCCCTAAATTACTAAAATTAGGCAAAAAAAAGGGATGTAATTGATATAAATAATTATAAATATATAAGTATAAAATTGAACTCCCTCAAACTGTACCTTCGTAACCAATATTTATTCTCTCGTTAAAAACGAACCGAACAATCAAACCTATCGTTACTCGGTTATTTTAGATGTACTAGCTTCAATCCAGCTAATAGCTATAGCCCATGGGATGAGATATCCAATTCATTTCAAGCACAAGAAACGTAAATCGAAAATAAAACTAATTAGCAATTGTGGTTTTAGATTAATGGATGATGTAGCGGAAACGTTTCTCACTTTCCCCACACGCATCATCATCTCTTCAAAAGAATGAATTATTGATCAAAGGTACCGTCATGCTATTATGCATTATTCATGGTATAGATATCTTCAATCGACATCTGATACTGATACCCGATTCGTGGATATTTTTGGATCATATATAATCTTACTTTTTTATTCACTTATCACAACAACAAATGTACCAAGAGTAATCCTGTCAAATAATTCGTACAAGTTATTATTGAGTTCTATTTCCCTTTATGATTAGGAAAAAAAAGCAGAAATAAAATAAAACAAACTAAGAGAATGATTCAGTAATAATTAAACATACAAATTCATGTGGGGGATTAAGAAAGAGAAGAGAGAATTTTCTAGAATTAAAATGAGCATTGCTTATGAAGAATTGAAGTTCCATTGTCACCTTAATGATTCCTCCCTTTAACCTCCAATCGCCCCCATAGTTTCCGATTCCGATTCCAAACTCACAATCGGAGCAAGGTGCCATTGGATCGGAGTAATTAACAGTTATATTGCAATCAATTGGTTTTTGAAATCAGATAATTTACGAAAAATGTAAAATGAGATTTGATTAATTGAGATATTCATTAATTAATAATCAATCAATGTCGAAATTTTTGCCTGCAAGCTTGACAGGTGATCTCCATACAAGTCGAATCAATCCGGCGCGTCGCCCTTTCCTTCATCTTCTCTACTCTCTCCACCTCCTCTCGTGCTCGTTCCCACATGTGCCGTGCACGTGAGAATTCAGATTGCGCCAGTTCCATCTCGCGCTTCGTCATCTCCCTCACACGCTCTGCATACGCTTTCTCCATTGTCGCTATCCGTATTTGATCCGCGGCTTGCCATTTCAGCGCCTCCACTCGTCCGTTGTCACTTTTTGAGTCTCTGCAACCAAACGACTCCACCAGCATACAGTGATCTGACGTCGGCTGCTGGATTGGCCGGAGACTAATCGATAACTGCAGGTCGAGAGACGGAGCAGTAGTACTCTCTAAAGGAAACTGGATGTTATCTGATCGGTATCTCATTGAATCCGATCGCCATGGCGAGGCACGTGAGTAGGCGGCTCTGTTGTGCGGCGGTGTAGGGAGGAGCTGTAGTTCCCTTTGATCATCTTCCATTTCTAGAGAGAGAAAGTGTGAGTGTGTGTGTGTGTGTGTTTCTGTGTGTGTGAAATTGAAGGTGGCAAAGGGAGGTCGTCTTTATATAACCCATTTTCTCTTGACAAAATTACAAAATTACCCTTCCATCCCATGCAAAATGACACAACCAAGCTTGAGAATTACGAAATGACAAAACCACCCTTCAGTTCCTTCCTAGGAGGCTCACGTGCAAAGGGTAGTTTCGTCAAATGAAATAGGATGGGTACGTTTCCGTTGTACTGGAATAGGGTTGAATGAAACGGATCACGTTATTTGGCAATGAGTGGCCTTTTTTATAATACTTTGTGTAGATGATAGGAATAATTGTCGTATTTATTTTTAATGGAAATTATTAAATTTAAATAATCATTAATTTAATTCATGTACATTTATCTATATAATCTTAAGGGCTGTTTGACACTTGCTGAATGGTTTGATGTAAAATGATTAAATAGTCAGAATGATTTAAGAGGCTATCATGATATAGTACAAAATGAAATATAATTATTTGGTAATTGTTTAAAAAAATAAATTGACTCTTTTTTCGATTCTGATATTTTGATATACAGTTTTATTTACATATTTTCTAAATTCTGTAACACAATCCAAATAAACGAACTGAACTTTGGTTTGTACTTTGTTTACAGTGATGCCTTTTAAAAGAAAATGAATCGAACTTTATGTGGTATGTACTAGACATGTTAATTAAGAATATGAAAGATAAGAAACCAATACTTTTCAAGTGTTTTTTATGTGTACGAGTCACATGTTTTATTCATCAATAAAAGGGTTTTATTCTATTACACGATGGGCATCTATCTGTGATCAAATAAACGATGAGAACGCTTTTGAAAACCGAGCCTCCCAAAGTGTCAAAGCCTCGTGGTTTGTGTTGGTATACAAAAATTCCATTAACTTGCAAGAAGCAAACAAACGTTGTGAATTTGCCACGATAACTTAACCATCTTTCCTTTTTCTCCGTCTTTCTTTCTGATGCTTTCGTCGGTTATCCACTCTCTTCCTTGTAGCTTCTTCTCACTGACTCAATAACCATATTCTAAGATTATCCGTTGATGCTTTTTTTTCTTTTGGTCAAACTCAAAAAATTGTTCTTGTACAAGATGGTCGAGTCGATTGGATTACCCAATTCACCAATCTATACACACTTTTCAAAACATTCGACATTTAGTATGTTTCTTGAATCCCGTATTTTTTATTTATTTTCGATATTGTAATTGAAAAAAAAATAATTTTTAATTGCAAATAGAAAAGAAGATAATTGTTTATAGAATAATTAAAAGAAAAGATTAAAAAAACAATTAATTGTTATTTTTTATTAAAAAAATAAATTATAATCCCTGAAAGTTTCTTTATTAATTGGGATACTCCACTTTGGTATCTTATTTTTGACAATAGAATCCTCGTATGTCATATTTGCAAAGTCAATTAATTAAATAATATTTTTTTATTTTTTAATTAAACAATTAGACACTTCATTTATTAAATAGCTATTACTACTAGACCTTGTCTTTATTGTACTAATTGAGTTTTTTAATTTAATATTTTTTTTTAATTTTATTAACAGTTTAATTTTTATTTTTTTTATGGATTAATTAAAAATAAAAATGAAAACTAAAAAGGTGGTAATTAGTGAAAACATAGAAATGGCTTTATTTGTGGGGCTTAAATTGTCGGGTCGGGCTTTTGCAAGGAAAAAAGCATTGGCATTCAGTAGGTTGGCACGTGGGTTATGATGGATTCGGGTCGGGATATGAATCCACCACTTAGGCTGAGGTGGGACCACCTTTTTATAGATCCAACAACATCAGCTGAAAGATCTCCTAACACACGTGCATTCCTCGTGCCTCTTTCTTTACCAATACTATTTTATAAATCAATATTCCGTCTTCTATTATTTATTTATTTTTACTTCGGATAAGATATCCAAAAATCTTAATTAACACAAAACTTTTAAAATATAAATTAATTTTAATTAAAAACACTCTCACAACCATGTTATCTTTTTAAAACTTTTATTTAAATGTTCTCTAATGTTATATATAGATATGTGATATTAATGATTTTAATATTTAGCAAAATATTTGATTTTAAATTTTGATAATTCACAAACTTGAATTGATTTTAAATACAAAATAAATTCTAAATAACTGTTTATATATATATATATAGTTAAAAGTTATTTTGATTCCTCGTTTTATATGTATTTTCATATTTTGTTTAACCTGAGGTTAAGTAATTTTTCTGCAATTGTGAGAAGTGGTAAACATTTGAGAAGTAAAAAAGTGATTCTAGCAGTTCATACGGTCAAGATCGGATTTAACTAGTCAATAATTGTGGCTTTGACTGATCAAAAATTACGCCTATGAAACTTTTATAAATAGGCGGAAAATAAGTTCATATATGAACCTGTGTGATTCACATATGAATTATATATATGTTCATATGTGAACTCGTGTAATTAACATATTAACTATTTTAAGCGATTCACATATGAACTTGTGTGACTTATATATGAACATATAGTTGGAGATGGACAGAGAATAAGAAGCAGCAGTGGCCGGAGATGGGAGGAGAAGGAGGCGTCGGACGGTGTTGGGCAAAGGGGTCGGTGTAAAGTGTCGCATCGAAGAGTAAGCACGTTTTGGCCGGCGATGGAGAAAGAGGGTCACAGGTGGTGATCCCGTCTATTTTAATATATATATATATATATATATGTCTAATCAAATAAGAACTGTTTTATTTGTGGTAATTGTGAGAACCAATCTCAACCACAAATCAAAAGGGAGTTTTAGGGATTTTATAAATATTTTCTCTCATCTCTCCTCTTTCCTCTCTCCGACAAATCTTATTCGACAAATCTTATTTCGATGAACCTTATGTGAACACAAGATACACACCATGATACCTACAAACGATATTCACTGTCATACCCATAATATAATACATTTCATAAAACAAGGAAAATACATTGTGATACACGTGAAACATTGTGGACGTTATCACTATGATACACTTTGATTCACAAACATCTTTACAATACGATTGTATATTAGGTAATTGATATACTAGGTAACTAATTTTAATTAAATATTTCATTCTAAAAACTTTAATTAAATATTTTGATTAGTTGTCAAAAATAAAATTATTATATTACCCTTTTAGCTTACTTAAGAAATATTCTAAAATATCGCAAACGTGTGGTTCATATTGGATCTTATGGTTACCACAAACTAATCAGTTTTCTCTTGAACGAGACCCTATAAACAGTGGCGGATCCAGGAAATTAATGGGATGGGGGCACGTTGGATGGGACTTGGGAACGGAAGCATATGACCATATGGGACTGGGGGAAAACCATGTAAGACGAGGGTGAAAATAGAAAATTTAAGCTAGTCAACAAACGTTTTTGGTCTTTGATTGGGGGCCTTTCCCCCCGGTCCTTAAGGGCCGGATCCGCCCCTGCCTATATATATATATATATATGTATGTATGTATGTATGTATGTATGTATGTATGTATGTATGTATGTATGTATGTATGTATGTAAAGAGTAAAAAGAGAGGGGGATAAAATGATAAAATAAAAGGAGGAAGATCATGAAGATGCATGCGAGAAAAAACACTCGAGAGCAACAGAAGTCTACTTTGCTAAAAGGAAATACAAATTAAAATTAATAACATCACGATGGTGTATGAGCTGGTAAAGTTTTCTTTATATATATATATATATATATATATATATATATAGACACTATATATATTGTATTATACACACTATATATATTCCTAAATTTAAAAAAATATAATTTTACTACTATGACCTTTAATTTTATAATTATATCAATCACCAGCATTTGTATATACAATAAGTTAAAATACAACAAAATTTGTTATAGAATGCTACTTTATAAGATTTAAGTTTATTGAATCAAACAATTGTACAACATGTAAAAGTATTACAATAAGTTTATTCTTTGGACTTATTAATTAAAAAAATTAGAACACTTAAAAAGAATATTCTATTAGCTTTTTATTTATAAAAACATCCTATAAATTTATTCTACTACATATGACACACAATTGTTTTGTTTTATAAACTTAAGTTTTATAAAATTGTCTATTTTGACACTTAGACATTTTTGTCGTCCTATAAACATAATTTTGTTGTAACCCATGGTACAATATCAAATTGAAATAAACTAATGTCATGTATGCTCAAAACTCGTTTATAGGTAAAATGAGTATCGAACAAGAAGGATTTGATGTTTGTAACATTAAAGGAGAAAAGATCGTTATTACACTAAATAGGAATTAACGTAAACAAATTTCATATAATTTCATACATTTTGCCCTTCAAAATCAATCAATATATCAACGATAATCATATCCATGGGTTCCTGATGTTCATATAAGATTTCTTTGAAAATTAATTGTATGTTAATTCGTTGATAGAATAACAAACGAACATGATTTGAAAGTAACGATTCGTTAATCAACTTGAAAAACCGTTTAATTGTCCTGTTTTAGGATATTTCAACCCTTCTCGATGCCAACAGTAACCGGATATCTAATTTTTTTCAAACTTAAAACAATCAAAATTGAATCTAAAGCGTCTACAGTTAGATCTAATTAAGTATAAAAATGCAAGAATAAATTTTAATTTTAAAAAAATGTTTTCGTTTACTTCACCAACCAAACAAATTATAGCACGCAACTCTTGGACGTGTAGCTCAGTTGGTAAAAGAGCAAGGAGGAATAAAAATCCCCTTATGGCCACGGAGCTTCAAATGCGGTGACTCCGGGCTATCTGCAAAGCAGTTGGTCTCTCTGGGATTAGTCGGCTCGCATAGCGGGTTGGATATTCAGGTTAATCAAAAAAGAAAAAAAGAGCAGAATGACATTGCTCAAAGACACAATAGGTTCAAGTTTAAATCGTGTAAGAGAAGAACTCGAACCCTTCCCTAGCCTCAGTCGCCAAGGACGGACCCAGCCCAGGTGG